ATTTCATTCATTGAATAACCTTTAAGCACAAAATTGGCTCGGGTTCTCTTGGGAATGATATGACATGTTGCTGGACAATGATGTAAGTATTTTCTTTTTTAATTATGATTCCTACACAAAATGCAAGCACACCATATAAGGGGACATGGCTATAGATACCACAGAGGCAGACCATGGAACTCAATACAATATTGCCTTTCAGGATGGGGCTGAAATGTTCCAGTGCTACCTTATTAACTATGTAATGGCTTTTTCATTCAGCTTTAGAAAGCCATAGATTTTCTAAGACATTTGGTACAGTTGAAATATATACACCCAGAACAAAAAGCACTTTCACATGAAATGCACACAGATACAGATACACACACACACACACACACACACACACACACACACACACACACGCCCTACTGTGGTGTACACACAGACACAGATACACACACACACACACACACACACACACACACACACACACACACGCCCTACTGTGGTAATGAGTGGCTAAAAAATTTGGCACTCAAAGGACAGTGCACTCAGTACTACAAATGGAAAGTCTAGGCAAAAGAAAAGTGCCATGAAACAAAAGAGGCAACAAAGTTTGCAATCCAACATGCTCACAAACACACTAAAAACCCAGCTTCTTTCCAGCAGCTTTCCTCCTTCTTCCTGACATAATTAGCTTTTCGGTTCAAAAATAATAAATTTGGCAATTTTTAAAAGAGAATGAAATGTCTAAGGAGTCTCTCAATTAACAAGTACCACTTACTCCAGACAGCATCGCCTTTAGCAGGTCCTAAAAACTTAAGAAAAGGATCTTAAAACAGGAAGCTTAGTGAGCTCATAAAAGTGTTGTTGGAGCCAGGAACACATAGCATATTTAATCTGCAAACTGTGAGAGTCCACAGTGATTTCAGCAAGATCTGAGACATGCCCTCAAGGTTTGCTGGGATCTGGGATTAGGGGGTTGATAAGAACCTCTGCTGCCCATGGACATGTTTTTCTTCTACAGTTAAACACAAATGCATGCAGACGTTTGACTGCTGCTTGGCGTTACTGCTCAAGTTAAATAAAAGCTCTGCAGCTCCTTTTGCTGTCAATATATCAAAGTTTAAAAAAAAATCATCAAAGTGTGAAATTTCATTTAAAGTCTTCGCCAGTCTACAGCTCTATTTCACAGGCCCATCAAATAAAAGTAAAGATGAAAAATACCCTGAAAAGTACTTGGAAAAGTTTGCAGCAGCACTCAGGCCTTGTTGTTGTTTATTCTCCCCTTTATTTGCTTTGAAAGTAGAACAGATCAATTTCCATGTAGAAAAATGACAACATACATGAAGTGGACTACAACAGCTTCTCCTAGGCCTTAATGAGGAGACAACCAGAGATCAGTATTAGAGAATCTTTCGTTTAACAAATATGGATGAATCTGTTTCTTCTGTAGCCATTTCAGCATTTTAATTGCCTCTCCTGATATAAAAGTTGGCAGGAATTTCTTGACTCTTCCAAAACAAATCAAACCAACCTCAGAATAGGAATGTCAGGAGAACTAAAACCTCCTTCAAAGAACTCTTTAGCTAGGGATTTACAACAATTGCAGAAAGAAGAAAAGTCTGACTTTTAAGATAATCTACTATAGCCTAAACGCATTAGCATTCCATCACTAAGGTTTTCTGAGCATTTCATGACTCACTCATTCACTTCTTCCAGACTGGCTTTGCTTAGTAAGTTACTGTCTGCAAGTAAGTCAGTGATACAACAATGGTCATTAAATTGTTTCCTTTCATAAGCTCCAAACTCTAGACTCAGAAAAGGGGGAGGGGAACACAGTAAGGGATGCCTTACACAGGGGAGTCTGAAACTCTTACAGCGTGCAGGTCATTAAGGAAACTTCACTGGCTACGAAACAAAGGCAAGTCCAACTTTTAGGCTTCAGCATCAGATTGATAAATTAAAGACTCTTTCATTAAGTAAGTAATGAAATAACTCAACAGAGCCATTTTTCATCAGTGCTGAATTTTCTCGTTTCTGTCTGTGGTCCTCTGCAAATTAGACATACAATAAAATGTATGTATACCAGAGTTCAATCAAGGAATACAAGCACGTAAAAAGCAGGGGGAATTGGTAGGCATCTGGGCTAAACCTGCTAGCCTATTAGCAATAATGCAATCTATACCTTTTAAAGTGTTTCTGCCTGTGTGAAATTTCACTAGACACCTCTCACGTTGGACTTGTTCATGCATCTTAAACCAAAGCTTCCCTAGGCTGACTTTAAGAATTACATATCCTGAAAGGATCTCCCCTTAGGCGGAGAGTTTCTAATTAAATAGCTTTTAGTGTAAAATAAACTCTCTGCTCTGTATAAATATGCAATTTCAACTAATTTAAATGTTATTTCATGTTTGTTTTAGGTTTGACTATAATCTAACTGGCCACAGAGCTTGTGGACCAGGCTGTTAAAAACCAATATTTCCTAACATAAACAAATTCTTTAGATATTCTGTACAGTTTACATTATTAAAACCAATCACCACTCCTTTAATACACCCTCTGAATTGAAATACTACTCTGCCTTAGGAAAATTAAGCGATTTTGAGGGTATTTCACGATTTTAAAACAGCATTTTCCTCCTTCAAAATAATCTTGACACATATAATTAAGAAACTGTCAGACTATTATTAATTTTTAATTTAAAACCCAAATGAAATAATTACAGGAATCAATCAATAAGGCACCTATTCAAATTACAGAGCAATTACATAAATACTCAAAATTAATACTTTAGGCCAGTTCTTGAAGATTTCAGCCTTTAACATTCGAAGACATCAAACAGTGCAATGCCATGGGGGGAATGAACAATCTCTCCCTTAAAGAGACTGCGATGAGATCGTTTCAGATGGCCATGGCACAGCCCCCCGCCCCTCGCACCGGCCATGCTCAATGCACTCAAGCCGCAACTCTTTCTAGAAGTTATTTCCGCCAGACACAAATTTCTGGAATCTTGAAAAATATGGCCTCATCCAAATTCTGCACAAAGTCACTTAGGAGGAAAAGGCCTAATCACTTGAATTTTCGGCTAAGTGCAGGTCCCGAGTTCTGGAAAGTCTTAATTGAGGGGAGGGAGGCGAGGAAAGAAGAGCAGAAGGTGTTTTTTGGAACTAATAATAACAGCGGTGCTAATGGCACTGCCCCTGTATTTGCACAGCGGCGGGCCCTCCACACCTCTGACTAAAGGGCTCTTTTACTCGGAGATGCGGACAGTCCATCATTTCAAACTGAAGTGGCAGCTGGAAAATGTGGAACAGCTGGCAAAGAGCTGGGAGAAAATGTTTTACATAAATATATGTACATATAAACTGGCAAAGAGCCACGAGCACTGTACCCAAGGCCAGAATCTACCCAGCAGTCTACACCAGAGGGATGAGAAGTTGGGGAGTGGGGAGGAGGCCGACCGTGGCGCAGGAACCCTCCTTAAGGGTCTACACACAGTCAGCCAGGAAAGCCTAGGCAGTGGCATCTTACCCAAAAAGGTGCACCCAGGCACATAAGCACAAAGTTCATCAAAGGATAATAAGCAAAGGCCAGGCCGGGTGTGGAGGGCATGTGGCACTCTCTTTAAAGTTGCTTCACGAACTCTCCAAGTTTGGGATCAATATTCACTCCCTCTCCACCTCATTTGCCCATCTTCCTACAGCAAGCCCAGAAAGTGTCCCCTGCAAAGCAAAGTGATTCGTGCAAAGCTCTGCTCCGTGCAAATGCGGCCTCTAAAATGACTGCTGCCAGGGCCACGGCTACTTTTCTTTCTTTTTTTCCTTCTTTCTCTTTCCTTTTCTTTCTGTACTACCTCTAGAAAAAAAAAAAAAAAGAATTCCAAATCATCCGCAGATGGTACAACTTTCACTTTTCCTCTAAGACCACAAAGGCACGCCGAGGTCCATCTGCTCACCCCACCAGGCACCAGGCGACCCTCCCAAGTGAACGCCGGACTGCAGCGCCGGGCAGGAGGACCCGGCAGGAGCACCGGGCAGCAGCGCGAACCTCCTCTCCGCCGCCTCCCGCTCATCCCCAGGGTAGTGCGCGCCGAGCTCCAGGGCGCCAGGCGGGAGGACCGGTCGGAGCCGGGGCCCGCTCAGCTCTCAGCCCTCGGGAGGGGCGGAGCGCGGGGCCGGCGCCGCAAACTTGCTGGGCATCCCCGGGGACCAAGGCCGGCGGTCGGTCCCGGCACGCGGAGCCCAGATACCCAGCGCGAGACGGAGGGGGCGCGTGGGAGCCGCTCGGAGCCCAGCGGGACGAACCGCGGGCCCCGCAAAACAAAGAACTTCGGCGGGACGTACCTGCGGCGGCGCTGTCAGGTCCCCAGCCTCACACCCGCGTCCGCGGCGCAGAAGGCAGATCGGGCTGCGCGGGCGGCCGGGCTACCGCGGGCCGCCGGGCTGGGCGCGGGGTGCGGCCGCGGGCATGGTGCGGGCGGGCGAGCGGCGTGGAGCGGCGGGGAGGGCGACGCGGGCGGGGGGGAGCGAGCGCGGGCGAGTGTGCGGGCGGCGCGGCCCGGTCCGCTCCCTCCCGCTCGTGCAGCCCGGGCATCAGTTTCAGGGATCCTGTAACCCGATCCCTCTGACTCACAGGCCCTGAGTGACAGTTCTGATTTGGTTCCACCGCGGGAGGGAGGAGGGAGAAAGCGCGCAGCCCCGCGCCGGCCTCCCGGCGTCCGATCCACTTTCCGCAACCCGGTCCCGTCCCGGCCGCTGCCGCCCGCGCCGCTCCCCGCTGCAAAAGTTCTCTGGGCTCCCGGCCTCCGCGCGTTTCCCCGAGCCCGTCCGCGCCTCCCCGCGCGCCGCCCCCCAAGTTTTCACAGATGTGGCGGGACTCCCCGCTCCTCCGTGCTCCTTCCCCCGCCCGCCCCGTATTTCCGCCACTCCGGAGATGGCCCGGGACGCGCCGGGCAGCGGGACGCCGCCGCCGCAGGGGACGAAGTTGGGAAAACTTAGGCGTGCTGCTCGCCTTACTTTGCCTCCTCGCTCCTTCCAGGCCGCGCCCGCGGGTGCGCGCTCCGGAGCGGCTCCCGGTGCGCTGCGCTGCGCTGCGCTGCGGGCGGCCGGGGCTGGCGCGGGGAGCCGGGAGCCACGCGCCCCTCCGCCTGCGCCCCGCCCGGGTCTCACACACATCCAGGCCTGCTCCTCCTCTTCCCCCTCCTTGACCCCGCGCCCGCGCGGCGCGCCAGGCCACACCCACCCGGCCGGAGGAAGGGGCCCGCGGGTGATGTCACTCCCCGGTCCGGCTCCCCACCTCGCCGGGACGCCCCTCTCCTCCCACCAAGCCTCCCGTCTTCTTCTGTCGCGCTGGGGTTGGACTCCCCTTCTTTGAACACTTCTCAGATCACTACCGCCCTCCTCCTCACACACACACCTCCTGGTACTTTTCCCCAGGCCAACCCTGAAACTTCCTCTCTCGCGGGATGATGCTTTTGGAAGTTCAGGGTTTTCCTCTTCGCAGCATTCTGCCCCTGGGAAGTGGAAAGTCTCAGCACCCAGCCTGCTGTCCCTCATGGGCCACTTTACAAAGGATACACAAAGACCCCCGAGCTTGAATCCTGGACTTCAACAAGGAAAGTGCTTCTTGAGATACCAAGTGTCTGTCATTGATTTATTTCAGTCTAAAAAAATCTTTGCCATCCTTCGACTGGCCAGTCCACATTCATCTGCACACTTTCAAGGAACTCACCCAGAGCCTATAACTTTAAAGGGGGAATCTCAGCCGAGTGTGGTGGTGCGTCCCCTTAATCCCAGGCAGAGGCAGGGGTATCTCTGTGAGATCTGTGAGACTGAGGTGAGCCTGGTCTAATAAGTGAGTTCAGGTCAGCCAGGGCTACAGAGAGACCCTTTCTCAAAAAGACTAAAAAACAAATATCATTTTTAAAAATTAAGAAGGGGGACCCTAGGCGTGTGGGGGAAGAAAGAAGAAAACCTCTGTCACTCCAGAATCATGAGGTAGGCAGTCTACCCACCCACCCAGCCAGAAGGGCCTTGGAACTCAGGGTGCTCTTGTGGCATCACTGTCTTGAAGGAAGAGAGTGGGTGGATGAATAGCTATTATGATTTGAAGAGCATTTTGAGATTCACATGCTTAACTGCAGAATTTTTAATGGAATTGACGGTCGTATTCATTATTTGTTTCCCGGGACTTGTTGCTTTTCCCAAAGACAAAAGCAGAGACTGACTTGAGGTTTCAGGGTAGAAATAGTGGAAATAAAGTAGGGCTCAAGGCACTTCATAGCCATTTGTTTTAAGCTTTCTCTCCACTCAGCCACTCTTTAAAACCAAACGAAAAGAAAAAAAAAACACCATTCATCATTGAAAGCAGGAGACACCAACCAACTCTCTCCTTATTACCTGGGCTCAGGCCTGGGAGGAGTCTCCCAGCAGCTTCAGACTCTGAGCCCATCTGTGGGTGGGTGGGTATCAGGAATACTAGGCCTCATAAGGTATACCCAAGGGTGGCTGTGGATTTCCAGTGAGATCATACAGAGTACAAAACCCCACCGTGTGTGAGAATTATTTCAGTGTTGCAGTAGCAGAGAAGTGCAAGTGTCTTTTCTGTGTCTTCTCCCTTAGCCTCAGTTCCATTGTTTCTGGCACTTCAGGACTGCTCTGCCTCCGCCATGTGAATGCAAATAATGCATACTGATCTTATTTTTTTTTTTCTGCTTATCCTTTGGCAAAAAGTAAATAAAGTCGACAGCCCCATAAATCAACAAGTATAAACTAGATAGTTTGGCTTTTACTTCAGTTTCCTAGTACGTTTTGAGTCATAAGGATCTTGATTTTCAGTTCTAAAAAGACTAGAACAAAGAAAAACCTAATCTTTCTCCCATGCTATCGGAATCCTTCCACACCAAGTATTTTGCTGTGAATCCTGTTTCACTTTCCTCACCTTGAATTCTTGAGGGAGATGGGTGACTCTGGTTTGTTGATAAAAATGTTCTTGCAGAAATGGTGGAGAAAAATATTGCCTTAGTGTGCATTAAATAATGCCATGTGCAGTGAGGGTCAACCCATATTAACTTCAGAACTCTTTTGCCAAGGGAAATCTTGCATAAAAATCCCAAAATGCACACCAAAGGTTTTATTCAAGTTGAAGTTGGAATGGATCTTAGAATCAAAGCCTCAGTCTTTCTCAACACTCACCTTTTCTGCCATGGCTCCCAAGTCATCCCCTACTCAGTAGAGGAACTTCTGATTTAATGATGAGCAAAAATGAAAGGGGGCTTAGGGCAGAGACTGTTCCTCCCTGATGTCTGAATTCCATCCTTAATAGATTCACCTCCTGCCTGTAGTGGTTTGAATGAAAAATGTCCAGTATAGGTTCAGGTATTTGAACACTTGGTGTCAAGTGTGGTGTTTGGGGACATTACAGAACCTTTAAGAGGTGCAGCCTTGCTGGAGGAAACATGTCATGGAGGTGGACTTTAAGAGTTTACAGCCCCAGCCCATTCTGTTTCCTGTGTTATGAAAGGCGATGTTTTGGCTTCCTGCTCCAGTTGCCTGTTGCCATGTCCCCGCCACCATTATGGGCCCTCCCTCTAGAACCATAAACCCAAATAAACTCATAAGTTGCTTTTGGCCATGGTGCTTTACCACAGCAACAAAAGGTTGTTAATACAGTGCCTTTCTCACCAGTTCTTATTTTACATGCAGATATCCTAGGAAATCGCAATATAGTAGATCCAAACAATGTTTAAACTTTATTTTTTTATTATTTATTTTATTTTATATTTTATTTTATTTTGGTCTTTTCGAGACAGGGTCTCCCTGTAGCCCCAGCTGGCCTGAAACTCACTATGTAGACCAGGCTGGCCTCGAATTAAGCTCTTTTTTTTTTCTTGATATTTTGTTAGTTTTATTTTATATGTATGAGTGTTATACCTGTAAGCACATCCCATGTCATGCAGTGCCCATAGAGGTCAGAAGAAGGTATTGGATACTCTGGAACTGGAGTTGCAGATAGTTGTTAGCTGCCATGTGAGTTCTGGGAATCGAATCCGGGTCCTCTGCAAGAGCAGCTAGTGCTGAGCCATCTCTTCAACCCCCATAATGAGTAAGCTCTTAAGATCGATTTCTTTTTCAAAAATGAAGTAGGAGACTTGAAAACCCTCTCTTTAGTTTCCTAGTACTGTCCTAACAAAGTATCACACAGTGGAGGGCTTAAACAATAGAAATGTGCTGTCTTACATTTCTAGGAGCTAGAAGTCCTTCATATGGTGTCGTACAGGGCCAACGTTCCTTTGAAAAGTGTGGGAACTCCTTCCTTGACCCTCACTGGCTTCTGGTGGGGGACATCCAGCCCTGCTGTTCTTGGCTTACAGCTTCTTACCTCTGCCTGGGTAATCTTAAGGCAGTCCCCTTGTGCCTCTCCCCTCTTCTTATGAGAGCAGAAGCTGTGGTCCATACCACTCCAGCACGACCTCATTTTAACTAATGGTGTTTGCAACCTTGTTTTCAAATAAGATCATATTCAGAGATTCCTGGGATTAAAATTTACCCACTTCTTTTTGGGGTATGGGGAGGCACAATTAACTCAGCAATGCTGTCCCTCAAGGGTTCATGCATTTGGAGGCTTGGTCCTCAGTGCTGGTGTTGAGATGGTTGAAATTATTAAGAAGTGGAACTGGGTTTGAAGTGGTTAGGCCATTAGAAGTGTACCCTTGGAAGAAATTAGAGTAGTTCTCTCACATGCCTGGAAAGCCCAAGTATGACCCCTTCCTAGTCTCTGTCTTCCTGTATCACCATGTGATGGCTGTCATGTGTGTTCTCACCATGATGTGTCATCTGTCATGAGACCCTCACCAGATGTCAAACTGGCAAATAAGCCTGGTTGCCTTATAAAGCATTGACTCAGGTAATTTGATTTTTTCTTTCTTTCTTTCTTTTCTTTTTTTTTTTTTTTTTTTTTTTTTTTAAAAAAAAAAAAAAAAAAAAAAAAAAAGAGGACGATAAATCTTTCACTGTGATATATCAAAATAA